GTGATTTTATGTGTGGAATAGGATGAGTACCGCAACCCCCCTTTGGGCTTTATTACTGTGAAAACATGTTGAATAAAAATAGGATAAAAAAACTAGTATGAACAGGGCCAAGTCATGTGCTGAACGTTTAGGGTCCACACTCACTTTCAGTTACAAAAAGCGGAACACAAATGTATCCCTTTAAATCCCATGAAACTATACACTAGTCAGTTGCGTTTTTTAAAGGTTTGATGCATGTTTTAAAAAAACAATAAAAACCCCAACAACCACACACACCAAAAAAGCATGGAAATCAAAAACGCATGAAAAATGCATGTCCAATTTCACAGGTGCATGCTGAGTAAGACACCCAGAAAATGCACTGCAGCACATCAAAACATCAGAAAAAAACATATACAGTATCTTAGAATGTTGCTGTATTGTCTCCCTTTATATTATAAAGCGCTGAGCAAACTGTTGGAGCTATATAAATCCTGTATAATAATAATACTACAGTACATACAATTTTACAGTGTTTTTGTTATGGAGCAGTGTGAAAGCAGCCAAAAACGTAACTGACCAGTGTGAAGTGTTCCATAGGATTTAAAGGGATGCACTTTTCATGTATTTGGCATCTGCTTCATTTTTTTTTTTTTTTAACTGAAAAACTGATCAATGTGAAAGGACCCTTAGGCTTAGAATTTGAAGTCTGTGTAGAGAAGATGAAGGGCTCGAGGTTTTGCAGAGGTAGAGGCTCCTGAGGCAGGGGGTTTTGGGATCTTCTGCTTTGCAAGAAAAACCGTTCCTCCTCTGACTTTAATTGGTCAAGTGCCTCCCCAAACAGGTGTTTTTTTTACAGGCAGCTTCAGCTGTCCAGGCTTTCAGCCACAAGACTGAGCATGTGAATGGAGATTAGGGCCATTATGGAAATGTATCGGTTACAGCAAATCCACACAAAACAGCACACAAGATAATTAAAATTATTACTATGTTGAAGTGGTTGTAAAGCCTTACATACACTATATTACCAAAAGTATTGGGACACCCCTCAAAATCATTGGATTCAGTTGTTCCAATCAATTCCATGGCCACAGGTGTATAAAATCAAGAACCTAGGCATGCAGACTGCTTCTACAAACATTTGTGAAAGAATGGGTCGCTCTCAGGAGCTCAGTGAATTCATGTGTGGTGCCGTGATAGGCTGCCACCTGAACAATAAGTCCATCCACGAAACGTCCTTGCTACTAAAATATTCCACAGTCAACTGTTCGTGGCTGAGTTGCTGTTGTTCCCAGTTGCTTCCACTTTGTTATAATACCACGAAGTGGTAGGCCACGTAAAAAAAACGGGGGTCAGTGCATGCTGAAGCGCACAGTACGCAGAAGTCGCCAACTGTCCTAGATTGTAAGCTCGAAAGAGTAGGGCCCTCTTACCCCTTGTGTGCTGTTTGATGTTACTGTACTGTTTCATGTATTGTCCCCCCCCCTCTGTTGTACAGCGCTGAGCAAACCCTTTGGCGCTATATAAACTCGATAAATAAATAAATAACTGTCTGCAGTCAACAGCTAAAACAAACTTTGTGTGGCCTTCAGATTAGCACAAGAACAGTGCATAGAGAGCTTCATGGAATGGGTTTCCATGGCCGAGCAGCTGCATCCAAGCCAAGTGCAATGCAAAGCGTTGGATGCAGTGGTGTAAAGCACGCCGCCACTTGACTCTAAAACAGTGGAGACGTGTTCTCTGGAGTGATGAATCACGCTTCTCTGTCTGGCAATCAGTTGGGACGTGTCTGGGTTTGGCGGTTGCCAGAACGGTACTTGCCTGACTGCATTGTGCCAAGTGTAAAGTTTGGTGGAGGGGGGATTATGGTGTGGGGTTGTTTTTCAGGGGTTGGACTTGGCCCCTTAGTTCCAGTGAAGGGAACTCAAAGTGTCAGCATACCAAGACATTTTTGGACAGGTTTATGCTCCCAACTTTGTGTGAACAGTTTGGGGATGGTCCCTTCCTGTTCCAAAATGACTGCGCACAAAGCAAGGTTCATAAAAGACATGGATGAGCGAGTTTGCGGTGGAGGAACCTGACTGGCCTGGGAAGAGTCCTGACCTCAACCCAATAGAATACCTTTGGGATGAATTAGAGTGGAGACTGCGAGCCAGGCTTTCTCGTCCGCCATCAGTGCCTGACCTCACAAATGCACTTCTGGAAGAATGGTCAAACATTCCCATAGACACACTCCTAAACCTTGTGGACAGCCTTCCAAGAAGAGTTGAAGCTGTTATAGCTGCAAAAGGGCGGGACAACTCAATATTGAACCCTATGGACTAAGGCTGGGATGCCTTTAAAGTTCATGTGCGTGTAAAGGCAGGTGTCCAACTACTTTTGGCAATATAGTATATATCCAGTGAAGTGACTGGCCTCAGGTGTGATACACAGATGAAACCGATATGAAACAAATTCCCCTATATAAGTTATACTTGTTTATCTGTAGTCCTCTCCCCTCTACATCAAAAGTGCAGAATATATACAGCCTGTTGGAGCTTCAAGAAAGTAGGGGGTGGGGAAACGGAAGAGCTCAGTGATGAGAGCTCCATGGAGGAAAGAGAAACATCCCCTTCACAGCACAAAGGAATAGAACGGAGGCTGTCGATCACAGGCTGTGTGCTGGATCTCCCTCTCCATTCCTCTTTCTCTCTTGGTGTGAGGAACGTTTGTCAGAAGTGACGCGTGCAGATAGAGGAACGAGACAGAACACAGAAATGACACTAAGTGCTCTGGATTATATAAACTATAGAGGGATATGTTTTAATATTTCACGTCGGAGGTTCACAACCACCTTAAAGCACAATTCTGGAAAACAGGATTTCATTGGTTGTTTATGGTCCAGTTAGCTGCAGTTTTTCATACTGAAATTTCAGGGAGATCTTGTTTGGGCTAGACCTGCCAAAGTAAGAGCATTTCAAACTTTCAATCTGCAGAATCTTTGAAAGAAGGAACAGAAAAGTTTTGTTGGCATTGGCAAGCATGTTGCGTGAATCTCTCTCTTTAACAATTCGGCAAGCTGGGGAAGAAAAATCTTCCGCACATTCTTTTAATACTGCCTCAATGACCTCTACATTTCCTTCTGTGTCCGCCACTTCCAGGGCAGACATATGGAGATCCAACTCAGGTAATGAAATGGAAGTAGAAAGGTGTGGCCTTTTTGAGCCATGGTCAAAGATGGCCGTGTTAAAGTGGTTATTTGTCAAAGAAATTCTGCTTTTGTCTGGTAGGCTGCTTGTTGCATGCCTGAAATAGAGCTAAAATCGGATGCAGAGACCGGTGTTAATGTCAGCTTTTGCTTGAATGTAAGGGGTGCCCAGTCACTCAGTGTTGTGTGGGCCGTCTGCAGAGTGAAGGTTAGTCTGCACTTTTGCAACGGCTCCCTTTCACCTGGTCTATAACACAGCTACTTGTGGGGGTATTCCTCTGTGGGGTACTCGCGGAGTAGGGTGTGGAATACAGGGTGTCTAGAATCAGACCACCACATCCCGGGTGTAACCCGCCCTGCACTAAAACCTGTGGCAAAAAGGCAGGACAAGCAGATGAATACCTTATAAGGACTCTAGCAAAAATGGAGATAAAATGTGTGACCTGTCGTGTAATGTAACACCTGGGTCACCCACTTGAGACTAAGCTGAGTGGTTGAGTTTTAACTCTAAGCTTGAAAAGTTTACACTGTAGTGAATTCAAATATAGCTGATTTTTTACATTAAGGAAGGTCATAGGGAAGTCGAAATCCGAAAGTTCAGTTGAGCGAAAAAAGAAAATAGCTTATAGGATTGTGCCATCAATTGTTTTGTTCTAATAAAAAGCCATCATGCTGGATCAGGCACTTTAAATTGTGGCATGAAAATCGCAAGTCGCAGCTGGCATAATGATGCGAAAAGCTAACAATTTGACAATTTTTTGCATAGTCTATGGCCTGCTTAACAGTCAGACGCATACAGGGTGATCCTGTCTTACTTGTCCACAATGCTGTACAATATATAAAGTACAGGCTTCATTTGTCTTGGTGGACATACCCCTGAAGGAGTCTACAGGGACTGGATTCCATAAGATGGACCACTGCCCTGGACCTGTATAGCGGCCTACGGCCAACTACACATGTTGCACTAAGTGAAAACATGAGCGCCCATGCAGGATTCAGTGCCCAGAGCAACATTACAGGCAGTCCCAACAGCATGGGGTCCAGCTCCCAAGATTTACCAAGGTTACGCCAGTCCAGATACACCGCTTTCAATTGTGGCATTAGAAGACAGTGAGGAACTGATTGAAGAACCTGAAGAAAAAATAATAAAGAAAAAAATAATAAAAAAAAAAGTAGTTAAGACAATAGTGATGATTTCTCTGCGAGGAAGAAGAGTTCCATCACCTTAGGTCACTACAAAACTGAGAAGTCAGGGACAGGGTTAGGGAGACGCTCAGTGGGCATGTCCTGAAAAGCTTTGCAGTGTCCAATCACCTGAAGGTACGAGCCTACAACTCAGGGACTATGAATACTTTTCCTGTGTCCTATACAATTCAGATAAATCCTTTTCACTCCTTATACATAGAACACACACACTGCACTGTGTTTATAGCACTAATACGTAAACTGCACAAGTAATTATGTACATATTTATCAAACATCACATCACATCTAGGCAAAGCAATATTACAGTAGACTTGCCGAGTGCTTAGTTCAGCCTTTGCAAAATGTTGAAGTATTTGATCTCTTTGAAGAGGTGGTGGAGCTTATGCCTAAAAACTTGAGCAAAGGAAATGAGGAGCTGTGATTCACAATCACCAATCTGACCTTGGATTCACTCTCTAATGTGCACCCATAAAAACTACAGACAACGTTAGATAACTCCACTTTGTACCTTCAGTTTTGGAAACAGACTATGAAAGGGGCCTGATAACTGCAACAATTCACATTTGCTCCTTGAACGTATGTGGATCAAGTTTCTGCATCCATTGTAAAATCTATAACATTTCTGGGGCTACACCAGAATGGTGCCATGTGTCTGGAACATTTTTAAATGGCTTCCCAACACTTCTAATACAGTATGGCTAGCTCCACAAAAACAAACTGTGTCATACAATTCATGTATATGTGCAGTGTTGGAGCTTCCCAAGGACTGCCCACCATCACATTTTACAAATATATAAAAATTAACATGGAGCGCTTGTGTACAGTAATTCTTACCTCGGTACTCCATCCACAGAAGTTGCTGCTGGAAATCTTTGGGTACCTGACAGTTTGCTGCTGCTGCTGCAGCCAGCTTTAAGGCAGATGGGGCAACAGCACTTAAAGTCCTAGGTAAATGGCGTGCATTAAGGGTGTTCAAAGAGTTTACAGTGGCAACGGAGGAGGGTACAGTTAATCGGATGTTATTCCCAATCAGGACCTGAGTTGTTGCAGAATTGGCAGCAGTTACTTGGTGACTCAGAGTGCTGTGGGAAGTAGCAGTCTGTGTTATATTGGAAGGCTGTAGCAATGCTGAACCAGTCGAAGATGACGAGGATGATGACTGACTTGTGTGTACGAGTGCTGCAGGCGTATTACTACTGAGGTGTAAGCCCTTGTAGACTCCTGTCACAAAAAAAAAAAAGGAAAAAAAAACTAGCGTCAACATCAGATCAATAATAAAGATCTTGAAAGACTCCAGAAACTAACAACTATCACAGTCAGTACCTGAGGCTTGAAGGATGCCATTCACTCCAATTCCAAGGACAACATCTTCCTTCATTTTGAAGGCCATCAGCTGCTCAGACGTTACCAAAGCTGTAACAGCAAACTGTGCACTAGCAGAGTCCAAGGTCTTTGAAACAAAACCCTACAAAATGGAAGAGAAAAAAACATTAAAATAGTCTAAGTATCAAACTAACACCCTGCCCTCCTCCCCAAAAAAAATAAATAAAAACAAAAAAAAAAAAAAACACTGCAAGGGTAAATGCTTATTTGGTTTAGGGGTACAGGTATAAGGTGTATTACTTACCTTATTCCAGTCTCCAGAACTGTTCTCAAGCTCTGGGTAAACTGTGTGGTTCCTCTGCATCAACAAATACAATGCAGGTCTATAAGCCCTTAACTGCACACTCAGACCAAACAAGCATTTAACTCTTGCAGTGCAGGGCCACTGCAAGGGTAGATTTCATTTTATTCTCAGAGTTCAGCTTTAACAGTCACACTAAAAAGTTGGATGCAATATCCAAGCCTCAAGCCACTGTTTTCAAAGCTAATCCAAAACCAATACATTTTATTTTAAAAAGTTTGTCAGCGAGATATACAGTACTCTCTCAATGATGGAATGTCAAAGGTTTAATGAAAACCTGTAATGGGAGAAATACAAGGGATGCCATTGCTGATCTCTTTGTGAAAATCCTAGTTGCATGGATGTTATAACTCACTAACTTCAATACTTTGAGTCACTGACCTAGGCAAAGTGTGAAGTTAAAAATCGCTATCTGTAATTTATTCTAGGACTACTGGTTCAACAGAATTAAAGTAAAAAGATGTCAGCATAAAGCCAGGAAACCAGTATTTGTTAATCAGGTATTTTCTGATGCAAGCTCAAGAGTAGATTGTAGGCATTGACAATAGACTGGCCTTACAGAAGTGGAGCTAACTTTTGATTTAAAATATAGCCCTTTATCGCTTCCTGTACACCCATACTGTACTATGTCATACTTAAAGCAGAGTTTGTATTTTTCATCCTTCTGTCTGTTTACACCATGCAGAACCACCTTGAATGGAACTATTATGTTAACCTGACAATATTTTACTACCTTCTGAAACTCTCCCATCTCTAAATTTCTTAGTATGCAATTTTGAAAATAAAAGGGAAGCTTTTACTAAGAGAAATTTGAAGACTGTCACTGCTGACCCAAGTCTGCAAAAGCTAGTTTGCTGGCTGTTATAGGTATGCTTTGGCTTCAATGATTTCTTACAGCCTAGGTTCACAATAATGCTGGTCCATAAGCATGTGTTTTTCAATGTGTTTTGTAGCTTGCTTTTGACGCGTTTTCATGCTTCATGTATTTGTTGTAGGAAGAGGACACTGGTAGTTAAAAAAACAAAACAGATTTGATAAATAAAATTGCCCAGAAATACAAAAGCATCTGCTTTGTACCAAAATAGCCAATCAGAATAACCTCTGTACTCCCTTAAGGATTACAATGGAGGGTATTCCTGCTTTGCTCATGTCTAACCTGTATAGACATCCACTATAACAGGCATAATCTGCAAATTGCGATGGCCAAAGAATATCTTTGCGTTGTGGTAATGTACCATGTACATTTCATGGTCATTTTGAATGACACCCCAATGCACAAGCACTGCATTACAAACTCTGCTTTTCGTCTGATTTTTGGACGTGTTATTGAGTCGGCAGCCAATTGCTTTTAATGGGTTTACTTAACGCAATGTACTTTTACACAAAAATATAAATGGGTCCTAAAAGGCTAACCTAAGTTTTTGGCAAGGGACATACTAGCAAACTGAAAACACAGCTGTTTGAAAGGGGATCATGTAACAAAAAACACGGCATGCAGTCCATTTATTCAAAGCATCAGAGCATGTCCCACTTCCATGTACGTCATAAATTAGGTGGCAAAACTTAAAGCAGAAAATTTCAAAATAAAAATAACAGGCAAGTAATCCTATGCGAATTTAAACTAATAAATAGGCCTGTGATGTTTATGTACAGTATGTGGCAATGTATGTACTATTATCTAGAAACCCAATTACAAATACACAATGAAAATGTAGTTATAGGTTACATTTCCTAACATAACCTTCAGCTATTTTGGTCTATGTTAATTGGAATGAGAATTGGATAACATGATACAAGAAAACTGCATTACCTGTGAAGTGTTGGCAGAAGAATTGTTATTGGCCTGCTGTTGATGTATTTGAGCAAGCTGCTGTTTCTGCATTAGTGCCAGTTGTTGTTGATGTTGCTGGTATTGTTCGGCTGTAAATGCTGAAAATAACAGTACTACATCAGAAAAGGATTAAAAAAATACTATGAAAATTCATATTTTCAGACCACAAGAAAGTATATCAATACAAACATTACAATAACCTTGCCAGAAAGCAGCTTGAAGATGTGTGAAAGTTGGATACTGAAAATTTACATTGCATAAACAGATTAGTCAAACATAGCCTGGTCTAGTTTTGGATAGAGTGATCTAAGAGATTAGAACTCCTGTCAGTTTTCACATCTATCCAGAAATCTGTTAGCGATATTTACTTTTACTTCCTGTCCTACTGGCAATGATTTCACAGGAAAGGAGGGAAAATCTGCAACAGGGACGCAGACAAAAATAAAGAGGTGATTGGGAGTCTAGCCTTTCCTTTGCTACTAAAGAAAATAATTTTTTTTCTCCCGTCTGTGTTGCTGTCTGATAAAACTTTGGCATTCCAGAAGGTTTTTTTACCTCACTTAATGTTTTGCTGGCAGATAGCAGTAAAAACCTGACAAGGGTTCTAACCTTTTCCCACTCTATCCAAAACGAAGAAAGGTTTTGGCTGGACTTTCACTTCACCTTAAAATACACAGTTTAAATTTAAAAAAAAAAAAAAAAAAAAATAAAAATCTTAGAGCTCCATTTAAAGCCTGTGGTATTGAGCTTTGATGGGAAAAAATTCAAAGTAATTTTGACATTAATTTCAGACACTTTATTTAAAATTCATTGCAGGTACAGGTCATCTACTTCAGCATTCCCACAGGCTTGTATAGGGAGAAAAGAAAGTCAACTAAAACCTGTGGAGGCATGCCCTTGAAGTTTTGAGAGTAAATGCGGGATACAGAAAACAGATAGCACAATGCTTACAACTTACTGTGCATGTCTTTACCATATGACAATTTCTATTGTTTACTATGGGTTTACTGAAGGTAAAACCTAGTACACATAGAGAAAATCTGACAAAAATATGTACCACTTTCGGAGCGATTGCTTGATAATCTGATCGTTAGTACACAGCTTTCGAGAGCCGATCGTACACAGCTTTTGAGAGCAGATCATGACATTTTGTGTGAAAATATCCAAAAGGGACGAGCACAAACTGTGCCTTACACAGACTGCGCATGCTCGGAAATACATTACATCGCTTCTGAAGTTGTATTCTGTTTTATGAGAATTTTCATAAATGTAGTTACCTATTAATTTTCAATAGGAGACTAGTATGCAAAAAAATAAATGCATAACACGGACTATAATTCGTCTAGTATTCTCATCATGTCATTACTCTAGTATTCTCATCATGTGTACAAGGCTTAATTATGTCACAAAAACACTTGTGTGATTAGGCTCTGAGATAAGCATCCATCCGACCCATGTGCCATTTACTAACTGGTTCCAAAGCAGTGGATTAATTAGCAGCCGGCAACTGCAGTGATTTTTTTTTCTGTCAAGGAACTAGGAACTGCAGCTATTGCTGTAGTTTCCTGTGGGGAGATAAATATATATATACACACACCTATCAATCAGCACACAGAGTTTCAGCCATGTTTTCCTGCCTATGCGCTTCCATTTTTTTTTTATTTGTCAAAGCTTAAATTGAACAAGCTGAAGTTAGAAGCCGACTGGCTACCAAACCGAGCTGCAGCAGATTTTGCACTCTACAGTTTTAGTAAATCAACCCCATAGTGTTAAGTCTGGGAAGAGTTGAAGTTTGTAAACTCCTTCTATTCAGTCTATGGTAACGTGCCATAAATGCGTCTTTGGCATTTACAGTGCATTTGGTTCATGTTCCTTGTTATATTATTTTGCAAGTTTGCCTTAAAATCAGATCCCTTACCTCTCATCTAACTCTCAACACCAGTTATTCCAAAACACACAAATTACCTTGAATGGTAAAAGCTACTACTTAGGTGTTTGTGTCAAAACCACCGATTTGCCACTTTTGAACATTTACAACATACTAAATTTACCCGCAGTCACTAAACATACATACATATATATACACACACACCTCAGCATAAATGAGTAATCCCCACAAGATTTGCCAGAAAACCTTTACTTATCTTTTAGAATCAGTATTTTCTATGGGACACTATACTACAAAATACTCCCACAAATGCGGGACATTAATAGCAAACAAGATTTGTGAATTAGCACACACAAAAGTATTTTTCCTAATAAATTCATTCAAGATCATATCGCAAAAAATGAATACACCCCAATGAAAGTCTTAGGAGCAAAGCTAAATTTTAGACAACAAAATCCTAACTAACAAGAATTCAACTACGGGTGAGTCTAATTATTCATTAAACAGGTGTCCCGCTGACAGTTGATTATAAAAGGGCATTCCCATTTCATGCTGTTAGCAATGACACCACATGGAAGAGAAATGTCACAAGGCCTGAAAAAGAAAATAAGTTCTTCACACAAGAAAGTTGAAGGCTACAAGAAGATCAGCAAAGCTTTACTTATCAGTCATAATACTGTAGCAAAAGTGATACAAAAATTTAACAAAGATGGAAATGCAACCATCTCACAGAGATGTCCAGGCCGTCCACAGAAGTTAATACCTCGACAGGAGTGTCTTCTGTTGAGAAGGGTTGAAGAAAATCGCCATGCAAGTTCACTGCAGTTAAGTAAAGAAGTAAAAAGCCAAATTGGCTGACTGTTTCCTGTGACACAATACGGCATACACTGCAGAGGAATGCCATGCATGGGTGTAATCTACATAAAACCCTCTCTTGAAGCCCATGCACAAAAAATCCCATCTAGAATTTGCCAGGGCCCATGCTGAAAAAAAAAGAATACAACTGGGATTCTGTACTCTGGAGTGATGAGACCAAGATAAATGTTTTTTATGATGGCTACAAAACTGTACGGCGTCGCAAAGGTGAATAGTACAAAGAAAAATGCATGGTGCCTACAGTAAAACATGGTGGCTTTGTCCTTTTGTGGAGCTGCATGAGTGCTGCATTTCATAGATGGCCTCATGAATTCACAGATGTACTGCTCTATATTGAAAGAGAAGAAGATGCTACCATCACTCTGTGCCCTTGGTCATCATGCACTTTTTCAAAATGACAATGATTCAAAACACACATCTAAGACCACTGTTGCATTTCTGAAGAGTAGGGTGAAAGTGATTTAGTGGCCAAGTATGTCTCCCGATCTGAACACAATTGAACACCTATGGGGAATTCTGAAGAGACAAGTTGAGTATCACTCTCCATCCAGCCTCTAAAAGAGGTTGTTCTTGAAGAATGGAAAAAGATAGATGTTGCAATATGTCGCCAACTTGTTCATTCCATGCCTAGCAGACTTGGTGCTGTCCTTACAAATCATGGAGGTCATACAAAATACTAGATGGAGTAGTTTTTGTTGTGGGGTGTATTCATTTTTTCATCAAATAATTTGAGCAAAAGTGATTATTTTGGAATCCAAGTTCTATTAACCTTACTTTAAATGAACTGAATGTTCTATAAAACTCAGTTTTGTCAAAATTTTGGAAATAGCTCATGTTCATTGAGATATTGATTAAAACCCTACTTTTCAAAAGGGTGTACACATGTATGCTGAGCACTGTATATTTAATATCTGCTGGTATCCAAAAACAAGGGAGATATTTCACAGACTAGAAAGCAACTAATAACATATCTTACAGAGATATTTTTAATAGGGCTGAAACTAATTGATATAATCGATGTATATAGTTGCCAACTATTTTCAGAATCTATTAGTTGGTCAGCTGGTTAGTTGGCCTGCCTACAGAACACATTATTTGTTTACATATTAGGAAATACAATGCAGCACACATACAGCTCAGTACACTGTTCATACATGTAAGTTAATTCCTGAAGACTTTTGAATGTGTGAGGAGCAATGCTTCATGGGACATGTAGTCCTGGGCATAAGGAAGAAGTGAGTTATTCTAAAGACAGAAGTTTTTTTTTACTTTGCTATGGGGTACTCTATACTATACTGTACAGTGTGGTATGGGGTACTGTGAAAGCAGGAGGCTCTAGAACACCTGTGGGGAACCCCAGAAAAGGAGAACCGGGGCTGCTCTGTGCAAAACCATTCCACAGAGCAGGTATATATGTCAAGTTTGTTGTTTGTAAACATTGGATTTTTTTTTTTTTTTTTTTTTTTTTTTAATCATTTTAAGGGCTCTATGCAGAGAGGATCAGCATCTGATCCCAGAGAAGCTGGGGGTAATATAAAGAATTACAATAACATTTAAAGTAAAACTTTACCAGTATTGTGCAGTATATTTAAAAATGATTATATCCATGCAAAATAAAAAGTCTCAGCCCTTAGTACTACTTTAATAAAAAAGATTTTATATTCTCCCCCCAACCCTTCATATGTTTGACTCCCAGTTACATCATTCGCTCGTGTGTGTTTTAGATTAATGTCTGGTGAGAATATTCATACAAATATTTGAAAATTCTTTGTACATTCAATGAATGGACAAATGTTGTTCGTAAATTTCACTGTGGGAGAAAACAACTGTCAATTTGACACCACTATTTGAAAATTTCATTAAAAAAAAATTTTCGTTTGATTTTCTAACAAAAAAATTTGACAGGAGGCACAGGTAGCTTGCATCAAGCTACCTGCCTATGGCAGGAGAGTGCCATGAATATTACATTATCATCCTGTCTGAAAATCTGCAAAATAGCGTTTTAGGTGTTTTTTTTTCTTCCTTTAAACAAAAATTTTGATCTGAGTTTGATGATATGTACGTGTGTGTACGTGTCTTTTGACTGTTATTCTCCGAGTGGATTAGAGGTTTTGTTCCCTAACCAAATAGCTGGTTATTTGTATTCATCACTGCATATAGTGATTCAAGAAAAAAAAAAAAAATTGTCTTTTTAAATTTACATAACTAAATTATACACCAAGCTTTTTTTTTATATGTTTTTTATCCGATTAATCAAAACAATAATAGACCAACTAATCGATTATGAAAATAAAAGTTGCAGCCCTAATTTTTAAGATTATACTGTATAAGAAC